CAGCCTACGCACATCTGCCCCTTCCGAGGGGCCAGGGGTCGAACTCGTGGATCAAAAACCCGTACTTCTGCACGGAGAGCAGGCCTCAGATGTCCCATGAGGCTCTGAAAGGGCGGGGCCTTTTCCAGCGTCCCAACCACTGCTTTTTGAACCCAACCGAATCAAGGGGAGTTCGAACACACAAAGCTGTTGGGGGGTGCTATTGAACTGAATAGTCATGGGATTTTGGGCATACAAATCAGGTGTGGGTGCAGTGGCTGTTGGAATTGAACAGGAACCCATCCCCAAAGAAAGCGGCACATAACACCGCTGGGCACTGAACTTGCTAAAGGGAAGCCTTGGACCCCAACCCCCAAACATCGACAATCACCTTGGAAGACTGTTTAGAAGTTGATCCAAATTCTGAACAACTCCCACTGCTCACTGCTAGTGCAAACCCATTCCCCAGAAAATGGTTGATCCAAACTCTCTCCAGCCACTGTTAGGGGGCAGAGAGAGAGAGAGAGAGAAAGAAAAAAAAAGCTCCTTAGGTCCCTCCCCCCCCCAAACAAAAGAACGTGAAGAATGCAAGAACATATTCCCAGCCACTACTAAAAGGCAACAATCATCTCCTTCTCCCCCCACAAAAAAAAAACAAAAAAAAAAAAACATAACAACGACAATCTCTCCAGCCACTACGAAAGACGGGAACAAAAAGCTCCTTGCCTCCCACCCAACAAAAAAAGAACGAAACAAAACACAAATAACAACAAGAACTCTCCAAACACTATTAAAGAGGGGAACAACCATCTCCCTCACCCGCCCCCCCCAAAAAAAAAAGAAGAAACAATAAACAGTATGGAAAAAAGCTCCTTCCCCCCCTCCCCCACCAAAACAAAACACGCAACAAAACAAACATGGAAAAACAGGTAGAAAAATCTGGGCTGCCGCCCGGGTCCCGGGCGGATCCGGTAGGCCCAAAGGCAGCTGCCGGCCAGGAGCGCCACCTTCAAGAGCCCGACCAGGAGGTCCAACGCCAGGCGCAACAGCCTCGCGAGTCAAACGGGGACTAGGACTTGACTGGGTCCTCCAGTACCCAGAGGCTCCTGGCTTTGGCTTTTCAATGGAAGACCCGACCCCCCCAAAACGACACCCTTCAGGGGTCTCAAAACCTGGCCGTTTGAGGGCCCCTTCAATACATCGAATTGGAGCCCTTGGGTAGGGAGGTTACAATAAGTTGATCCAGCTAGGTCCTCCAGTGATTCCCGAGCCAAGACTTGATCAGCTTGCTGTTTCCTTGACTTGGAAAGGGTCCAACACTTGCTGGTGCGTGCGATAGGCAGGGAATGAGTTGGAATGCCCCCTACCTAGACTCTCCTTCTGACCCTTAAAAAATGGGTCATTACCCAAAAGAAAGGGGTTAAATGGGCCCATGTTTGAAGGGTCATGAAGAGTCTAGGTACCATTTTTTCTGTAGTCGATTTTAGTAGGGGAACTCTTCCCCAAAAAGGGTAAACGGGCACTGCTGGGTGACCTAGGGGAAACAAAAAGTCCAAGCTGCTGTTTTTTTTTGCCAACATGGTTTTCCCAAAAAGGAATGAATTTGTCGATGGTTGCCGCAACGGCCTCGCGATGCAAAAGGGGAAGGCCATGGAAGGCCCGCCCTTCACATCCCCCCTACCTTCTGGGAGAGGGGGGTCGGGGGTCCCCAATTTCATTCCTCTAGTCGGGCGATGCGTATATGTTATACATACTGTCCAGAAATCGCACCACCGTTCAGAAACCCTGGTTTGCTGATGATTCCCCTGCAACAAACCAACCAACAATGGGTTCCAAAATGGTGGGAAATGGATTTTGTCCATCCTCAGCAGGATATGTGATTCTGCTTTTGTTTAGGAACCCCCATTGGTCTTGCAAGAAACCAACTCACCAAAAGGACAAGCAACCATCGGGACCCACATTGGTGGGTCCAAAGCATTGGTGGTTGTCCTTTCGATTTTCGTTTTAAAACCACCAAAGCAAAAGGTACCTTCAAGACAAAACACACTACATTCAGGTCACACCTATTTGTGGTGTTTGGATTGGTGGTTTGGAGTTGAACTTGAACCCCTGATTCAAATGGAAAAAACATGCCGGAACAGCACCAAAGTTTGAGGGTCAGAGCTGCCCCTGAGGTTCAGTGGAATTCTGTCTATATATGGCAAACATGGTACTTTTTCAAGAAAGCAGTTTGGATACGCTTTTTTGGTTCTACCTGTTCTTCGCCCTGTTAACGCGTTTGGGGATCCACAGGCTCGCCACATCCAAACTGTTTTCTAGACTGCTTGTCCATTTGCTTCGGAGGCCTATGGTTCCACTCCTTCAAAAGTCTTAGGTTGGCAATCCTTCAGCAACATACGGCTCCACAAAAGACCCTGCTTTGGCTTTGAACAAACAAACTAGGAAAAGGGTGAGCAGTTGCACAGGAATCACTGGATTTGTCCAAATCAAAAGTTGATCAACTTACTAGTGGTTTCCATTGAAACGATCGCCGCTTTTTGAGGTTCCAAAAAGGGAGGTTGAGGAAACCTTGTTGCATCTGCGATCAAACAGGGTTCCCTATAATAAACACCCAACCTAAAGGAAACTCACCAAAAGGTGCTGAAAGAAAAAACCTTCAACCCGTCATCTCCCCACCTGCGGGGCAAACCAGGCTGTGGCTTCTGCACATCATTGGCCTCAGCCTTGGAGAAGGCGGCTATGCCAGAGCAGCACAGAAGCGCCCGGCTGTGCCAAGGAACCCATCGAACATCCGGGACTAAGAGGGTTTTCTGGGTGGATTTCCCTACAGCCATATGGGCTGTTCCCTTAAAATTGCAAATTTCCTCCATTTGCATGTTCGCCGCCTGGAAAAAGTGAGCAAATGTGTCATATGTCCAGCTTGAAAGTTGATACCGACGTTTAAAACCAATAAAGAGAAAATCAACGACATTCTGAAACGCACCTGGAAGCAATGAACCAATCGAACAATCGAACACAAGGGCTGTCTAGCAAAGGAACCTCGGGCATAAGCAAGGTTGACAACCCCCCCCTTTTGTTTGGTAGTCCAAGGGAACCCCAGCAAACCCAAATGGGGGCCTCACTTGGTCAAAGAACCTGGAAATGGGGGGACGACCATTGGGGAAAAACCATGAAAAAAAATCAGAGTTCCCACTAAATTAGAAAAGTTGCCCTTGGTCAATTGGGGGCCAGGAATATTAACCAACCCCTAATAAAGGGTGAATTATGTTCATGTTCTGGAGCCATGACTAAACATGAAGTTTTACGGAGAGAAAAGGATGGACCCCCGAACGCTGTAAGGTGGTTTCTACGCCCAAACAGAAATCGGCCGTACGCCCATAGAAACCCTGGTGGTAGTGGTGGGCCCTAAAACAGGGGTCTCCCCCCAAATGGGAAATGTGTCCCATGTGCTTTCTTCAGGGCCCCCCCCTCACTTGCCCAAAACACCTGGAAATAAAAGGTTAACCTTTTGGGACCGCTACTAAATAAAAATGGGGCCAAAATGGAAAAACCAAAATGTCAACTAGGCTGGAATTAGGACCCCAGCAAAAATATATTTTTTTTGCATGGTTAGTGGAAAACAAAGGGAACCCCAAAAAGCAAAAAAGCAAAAAGGGGAGCTCGATTCGCTTTGGGCAAGTGAGCCACTTCAAACCAAAACAGACCACTGCTTCGCCGCCCGGCCAAGTGCGCTGCCATGGCCTGGACAGGTCCCAGCGCCCGCTGCCCGCTGGCCCGAGCCAAGGAGCGGGTCGGGGCGAAAGCTGGCGGAGTCTAACGAGCCCAAAACCAGAGGTAATGTTGACCCCGGATTCATAAACCCCTGCTTACAAAACTTGGGGGTGTCTCCGGGTTTAGTGGGGATTTGTCATTTTTGGAGGGGAACACCCCCATATGAATACACAGGGGGTTATTGATTCATCCGGGGTCAACATTAGGCTGTTGCTTGGCTCATTTGTTGGCAAAGGAGTTTTTATCTTCCCAAGCAAAAACCATCCATGAGGCAACTGAACCAACCATGAACCTGACAACAAAAGCAAGCATGGACCAGCAGCATGGACCATTGATAAGCCACAAAGCCCATCACAAACCTTGCGCGTGCATGTAAAACAACGCCAGCTATGAACCTACAAGATAAACTGTGAACTGATAGGCAAGCAAGCAAGCAGGCAGGCAGGCAGGCAGGCAACTACAACCCCTCCCGAATTCTGGGCATGTTAGCACAAATCGGGTTCCTCTTTACAGCCCTCTCACTCAATAAAAACCGAGGCATAGCAGATTCAAAACCAACCAGCATCCCAGTCCAAATCAATCTGTTGTCTATGTCGTCTTTTCGCACAATCATTTTGTGGATGACTTGCAGTGCCTTGCACGTTGACCTCCAGGATTCCCGTCCCAAGTACAAAGTCCAGGATTTCTGGCCCACGAGTTTGCCCAAATGGTTCCTATGGCATCAGGCGCTTGTTTCCATTCCGAACTTCAAAGGAACACATGGTGAGAAACAGGCACAACCCGCACACATGATGCTAGTTGCCAGCTGGTTCAAATCATTTCTTGAAAGCGTCAAAACTTACTTGCCCTTTCAAGGCCCCACAGTTGCTGGTTCAGTTGCGCTTGGATTTCCACCATGTTCCGCTTGCTTCTCCCCTCCCTTTTCGGATCCCAACCCCGGCCAACCAGCGCTTGGCATTCTGCACTTTTGGGCCCCACTTCCTTTCCTGAAAGCAACGGCAAAGAAACACAGGGGAGCCGCCCCGTTGTTCGAAAAGGGGGTACCCGAAAAAGAAAAAGAAAAAAGAAACGAGATGCTCCATGCACGAGTCTTGATTGCAGTGGCAAAGGCGAGCTACAAACTTGAGGATACCGTGAACCTGCATGGGTCCAAGCCTCATGTTAGGATGGGTTGGAAGTGTTGGCAGCGCTCCGCAAAGAATCAAGAGCACTTCTCCAGTTGCAAAGAACCCCCCCCCCCCCCGGCTGTCCTTGGGGAAGACCAGTGGCTGCACAACCAGCGCGAGCAGCACATGGTACACTGCAAGGGCTGAAAGCCACCTGCGTCGAGCGACCATCTGGGGGTTTCGAGAGAGAAACAGTCCTTCCAAGGCCTGTGGTCAGCTTCCATGTGGGTACGTAAGACAACATAAACATACTACTTACCTGCCGTATGTCTAGAGCCTCATCTAAGCAACTACTCATGGTTTGCCCTTACAAGCATGAGGGTATGGGTCAAAATTGAACCACCAGGGAACCGCAGGTTTTGGTCCCTGGTTCAATTTGTCAGGGTTCACTTCTCTCTCTCTCTCTCTGCCGTTGCATGGGTACTTATCTAGGTCCTCCAGTACAGTAGAGAAGTTAGAATACGGGTACCCTTTTTTCTGTAGTCTATTTTAGTAGGGGAACCCTCCCAGAAAAAAGGGGAGAGAAGGGCACTACTGGGGGACCTAGTTGTTTTGAACTCACAGCCATGACTCAATGTGACTTTCAAGCGCCAGCGCCGCCCTCGTGCTCCGAAGCGATCCTGAGGCCCATGCGCCACTGGGACGATTAGAAGCGACCTCGACTCAAGAAGCTACCAGACGCAGCCGGAAAATCGACACACAGAGCTACGGTCCGAATGTTTTGCCCACATCTGGGGCACACCAAATAAGATTGTCAAATTCTGATTCATACTGAGTCGACACTCAAATGTAACATTATGACATAGTTTTGGATGAGACCCCGAATGTGACCTCTAATAATCATGAACCATTGGGGGTCGACTATCCTCCAACCCCCTTCTGTCCACCGGCATCCTTTGCAGCATACCTTCGCATACCAACAAACGAGGAATCCTTCTTGAGAAAGGAGCACAGGTTGAACATAATCCGAGGCCACCGGTTGATTCGAGGTGGTCTGCAGGTCTGTCAAAAACAGGATGGGTAACAAGAAAGACGGACCAAACCACAAACATTGGACAGTTCCTGGGATTCCTTGTTCTGTACTTGAACAATATTGGGCATCAACCATAGCTTGGTGACACATACGATATCGGCTATGTGTATATACATGTAACACGTATACAAGTACTGTGTATGTACATATACATATACATGTATACATATATATATTTATATATTGCGTCTGTGTGTGTGTGTGTTCATTCAATCACATTCCCTATATACCTATCGCACCGATCGCAAGCCAAAAGCCGCATGGATCCGCTTGGTTTTGACCCGGGGATCCGTGCCAGTTGTGTATCCTGGCCAGCCAAAAGGCGCTGGCAGCAAGGACCTGCCCAAGCCCTCCCTTCCTAACCCAGGGAATGCTCAGTTGAGTGACAATCAAAATCCAGTATTAAAATGGTACAATTCCCGGCAGTTCCCGGTCGTGCGTAAGTCAAGGGATGACTAGACCGAAACTAGGGCCAACCTTTTACCCAACTGTGCCCTCCCCTCGCGGCAGCTTCTACTAACCAAGGCTATTATAGAAAGCCAGTGTTATCGTCCTTCTTTTTTCGGCAATGAGAGTGGGTGGGGCTGCATCCTACTGTGGACCAAATCCGGCACCAGTTGGTATGGATGAAACCCCATACTGGGAGACACTAGGATTTTGACCATCAGCACAGATATCGGGAAATCCCCTACAGCAGACGACGCTTAGTCTCAGATGGCATGGGACCAACAGGGATCATTCCTGAGTGGGTGGCCCAACAAAGTTGCCAAACTTGTTGTTTGCCACTAAAATGGCCCAAGCCCCAAAGACGTGTAAAGTCCACGAACTCAGTAAGTGAGAAAGGATATTATTCTCAAAGTAAAATGTGTGTAACTCTCTCTGGAGGTATGCTCCAACATGGCGTGGAACCCAAACATTGACGACATGGTACGCCAGGTCAACATTGGGTAAACGCCTCCCGCAAATCAACCCGACCCTCCCCCCTCACAAACGGGACAGCAACTCTTTTTTCGGAAGCCTGTTTTGGGAAGCACTTGAGGAAAAAAACACAATCCCTTCAAGTTAAAGCTCCCAAAAGCCACCTGAAGGGTATGAAAGGACCAAACCCCGCACCCTTTCAAAGTGATCCGCAGCTTGAGGACCCTTCCCAAAGGTAGACAGCTCTTGGGGCTTCGCCCAGTCCGATTTGGCCATGGGTCTAGTGAACATCTTTGTCATTAAAATAGACAACAATGGGTGGTGCACCCACCCCAAAGTGGTACCCTTGGTTTGACCAACAGCCATTTCTCCGCAGCGAGCACCTGGCCTGGGAGTGGGGGAAGCCCCAAACGAACTGCACGTCCTCGGCGAATGGAAGCTCCGAATGGGGTGGGTTGTCAAGCTTGGCTGGATCTGCCCGTCTGCCGGCGGCCCCGACCCTGATAAACGGCATAACCATTTATATAGTGAAACTAAGGAGGTGATCCCGCCAAGTATTGAACAGCTGGTTTCCCATACTTGAGCCATACATTCACGTGTAAAATGCAGCAAGGGGGATGGGGGTTCACAAAATGGAGGAAACCTCTGAAAGAGAAACCAACTAAAATCTTTTAGGGGGGAATCCCTGTAAAGGGAAACCAAAGGAAACAACCCTTTTGTACGTCACTATGTTGAGAACCCCCCCAAATTAAAATGTTGGGACCCCAATGCCAATGATGAGGCGATGGCAAGTTCAATGAGTCACTCATTGAGACCCCAATGCCAATGATGAGGCAAAGGCAAGTTCAATGAGTCTGAGGTACGCGCCATATCAATGCGGTTGGTGGAGAAATAGCACCGCCGCATCGCCCGCAAGTGCATGTACCTACGGCCGGTGGGGCGCCAGCGGGCGAAGAGTTCCCGAAGAGTTTCGGGCCGGGTTGCTGTTGATGTCACTTGGGCTTATCTTGGTTGACGTTGGAAGGGGAGCAAAACAAATGTTTTGGCAGTTCAGTGGTTGGATTTCAACCACTAAGCCACAATAAGCAAAAATGGTTCGAATGTTTCCCGACACCAACCATGGCGGCACACATACGGCTTCTCTCACTTCCTGGGTGGCCAACTTGGTCTTCCATCTTAGGTGACTAAAGGACAGGAACTCAAGAAGTGAGACCACGAAGAAAGGCAGGAGTCAAGAGTGTGTACAGAGAACCAGCTGGGAATGCCGTAGGCTCCGAATTCCCCTTGCGGGTACCACCCGGTTGAGCTTGAGGAAACTGCACTCTTCTCCTTTATTTTTTTCTGGGGGGAGGGGGAGGGGGTTCTACAAGAGAAACAACAAAAGGTTCCCCGTTTTGTGCTTGAATGGGCTGACAACCTGCCTTGATAAGATCTTCAAAGGGGGTCTTCCAAACGAAAAACGATGTAGAAAACCACTGTTGCTTTTTTGTTTCCCATTAGTGGGCCCCCCCCGCCCTAGTGAACTATCCGGTTCCTGAGAAATGGATTGGAAACCTCCAAACCACCGGGATCCACACCAATGCTCGAACCACTTCGATGGGGAAGCGAGCGAAGCTTTCGCCTTTCCGCTTAAAAGACTCGTGGAAAACCCACAGAGAGAACCAAAGGATACACACGGTGGCGGAAGTCCGTGCACGACAGCTACAAGCAAACCTGCATGAGACGCAAGCAAACCTGCATGAAGTCAGAGAAGACAGTGCAAAACTTGCCAAATCCCACTGTGTCGCACTAGTTCCCACAAAAAACAGAACCAAAACCAAGCAACTGGGTTTTCCGGAGCTCTCGCCTGGCCTAAAGGGCAGCATGAAAACGGATGAAGTGAAACCCCTTGAACATAATTATCTATACATCCCAAGGGATTTTCAAGAAAACATTAACGGGGACCGGAAAAACCTTTAACAAAAACTACCTACATCCCAAGGAAAACTCAAGGAAAACCCAAGGGGCTTTTCAACAAAGCAGGCTCCCTCCCACCCAGCCAGCCACTCGCCTGGTGAAGGGCATCATGAAGATGCTCCAGAGCGCCAGGCAGCCAAAGGTCTGCCAGGCCACCCCGGAGGCAAAGAAGAGCGTCAAGCTGCAGCTCAGCGGCTGCACGATGAAGCCTCATGGCCATCGGCGGTTTAGGGGAAATAAATGGGTTTCCCTGGCAGATGATCGAACCACCCCGGTAAACCAGGAATCGCCATCGATTTTTCGACCAACACCACCAAAAAGCACACCTATGCTCGTGGAGCTAGAGAAGCCGCGACCCGGGATGACTTTTCCGGGCTTCAAAGGCGTGGAGCCAAAAAACACGGAGCGAAGTGGGGGGAGGGCCTAAAGAAAGAACATGGGAAACAGCACGTTTGAGGGGGAGCCCTGTTTTTTGGGCCCACCACTACCAGGGTTTCAATGGACATACAGCCGATTTCTGTTTGAGGTATAAACCACCTTAAAGCGTTCGGGGGTCCATCCTCTTCTCTCCGTAAAACTTCAAAGCCCCTCCAGTCTGGAATCTAAGTCCCTGTTTACCCCAAATGCACATCCACAGGGTGGGATGGTTGTGGGGTACCGCAGGAGGACACACCTAAAAGCATGGCCGAACCACCTGAAAAGGGATATGGATAAAAACCGGCCCCCTGCTCCCTTACAATCCACTAAACACCACTAGGTCCACCAGTAGGTTAGAATAAGGGTACCAACTTTCGTTTTCCCACACGTCTATTTTAGTAGGGGAACCGAATCTCCCAACCAAAAAAGAAACGGGTTAAGAAGGGCACCAATCGCTGGGGGACCTAGACTCCTAGACCAGGAACAGGGATAAAAACGGGCCCCCTGCTCCTTACAAGCCACTAAACGCTAAGCCAGAGCCACCAAACACCAGAAGCCATCCCAAGCCGAGGCGCCCATGTAGTCGTGGCCCAAGCTCATCCCCAGAGGCTCAAAGGCCTTCTCAGCCTAGCTGCCGATCCCTCGATCCCTCGCTCCTCACTTCCCGAGTGGATGGTCCAAGAAGCCTTCTTTGGATTTGCCGCTGAAACCAGTCCAAACCCAAAGAGTGACTAAAGTCCGAAACGGAACTCAGTAAGTGAGAAAAAAATCGGACTTCATCTATCCCAACCGGCTGCTGTTTGCATGACCGCTGCATTTTTAGCGTGACCAACTCACTTCCGAACAAGTGGGTTGCCAACAGAAATGGTAAGCAAACCTGTTTGTTGGCGCCAAACTGTAACCCAAACCCAAGCAAGCGACCAAAGTCCCGCGACTATTGGAGTGAGCTGAGATAAGAACACGGGAGGTGGGCTCGGCGTTGGGCAGAGGTTGGATTCTATGGTCACAACAAGCGTCGCGGGAGGAGCCGGAGGGGCGCGGACCGAAAATGCCGCTCCTGTGCTGTCAATCCCCAGGCCTGCGGATTTCCAAGGAACGCAAGGGCACCCTATGTTTTTTGGGTTGACTCAGTGGGTCCCAGGCAAACCAGTATAGCAGGCAATCCTTCGCTGGCAATAACTGACCAGTTGGGAGAATGGGTGTCGGGGGAAACATGCAACGCGCATTTTCAAGAGTAAAAACATGGAGATGGGCAATCCAGCACCCGGTCCTTGCATGTCCCCTGCGAAGACACCACCTCACCACAGAAAAACTCAATCATAGAATCATAGCGAGCAACAATCAGTCACCATACCCAACCAATAGACACAGTTAGCACATCTTTGGAGAATTTCCCATGACATGGACCACAATTGGGACTCAATGTGCAAACTGATGGTTACTCCATATAGAAACTTGGGCATCAAGCTTAAACTCACTTCCCGAGTGCAGGGCCCAAAGAAAGCCCAAGCTTGTTGCTTACCACCAAAATGGTCCAAACCCAAAAAGCATAAAGTCCATAAACTCAGGAAACGAGTAAAGCGAGCAAATTGAAGTTGAGGTCAGAGCCGCGCCTCCCTTGCCCGCAGCTCCGGTACGAAGCTCCATCTATGCCTTACAATGTCGAGTGTTCGTGGCGAGAATCAATCCTGGTGGAGGGGGTGTCGCTACCAAGAAGTTCGCTCACTCGGAGCCCCCAATTCATCAATCCAATCCAACCCTAATAGGTATGAACAAAATTCTTGCACCAGCTAAGAAACCCTGGAATGATGATTCCCTTGCAAGTACCAACCAACAGTGGTTTTGCATGGTTTCACAGTGGTGCGAAATGGTTGTCGTCCATGCACAGTAGGGGCGTACCCCGGCTCCAAACTGTTCATCTCGTACATCTGCATCAGCCAGAATCATTCACGAACACGCGGGGGAGTGAAGAGGCAAACACTCTACGAAGAGAACGGCCTGGGTGAATAACATTTTTCACCAACCCAAAACAAGGGGAAACCCCACCAAACGAAGCGTTCGGCCCCATGGCCTGTCGCAAAGCAACACCTCACAAAAAGGGCCCCAGTAGCCTCGGAAAGAAACGACACAATTGGAAACCGAAGGTCAGCATGCTTGGGCCATTAGGAAACCGCCCCCGTGCATGCATCAAAACAAGGCCAGCAGGTCGCCGATGCATAATCCCACCCTTCCCCCCAAATGAACATACCATAAAGCCATGTGTGTCGGACAGTTGTTTGTGTGTTTTTGTTGGAATATGCGCTCGGGCAAATGGCCTTGTTCCCCGGCATGGCAAAGTGGAAAACAGCATCCCACAGTGGCCTTCATTACGCAGCTCGACATTTATACCCCCACGATATGCGAGCACGATATGCTTTGCGGGATGATACCAGGCTACATAATTGCCAGCATATGCCTCCTATGATCTCTGTACCCGCCATTGTAAGCCTATCAAAGTTACTGCCTCATCCAGGCTACCAGAACCCTTGGGAAGACCTGGTTCCAGGGCTGGGAGCTGCCAATGTTAGTCGGAGGGTTGACGGATGGTTTCCATCGAAACAATCGCCACTTGAGGTTCCAAAATGGAAAATGGAGGGAAACATCCCAGACCCAAGTCAGACGCTGAGGCAAAGTCTCAAAATCCCAAAACACCTCAAACCCCACACGCATTCATTAATAAACGAAGCACCCGCGTTCAAGGCCCCGGGCCAAAGCCGAAGGCAGGACATCGTAGACACGAAAGGCCTGGCGGGAACCACCCGTTAAAGTCCAAATGGAAAATGGCGGGTTACCTGAGCGGTAACTCGGATCCACTGGACCAGGACACAAAAAAAGCACGTGGTTGCAAATTGCAAATCTGTTTCTCTCGGTCAAAAAAGCTAGCCCTAGACCCAGCAAAGGGGAAAAGCAACAACATTTTAGATGGGCTTCTCTGTGCCAGTATTGCCGTCTGATGCTTCGCTTGAGGGTACCTGGCGCAAAAAATCAGGAACCCAATTGCGCTGGCAGGCAGTCCGGCACACCACGGCAGGCCCAAAACGGGTTCCGAAGACGGATCCAAGCACAATCAGCGCCACCCCTTCCCTTCCGCGTTGGTCGGATTTTGGGGAAGGCTGGGGGTTGACACGTGGATTAATGTCTCCAGGCCCGGGATGGATTCGCGCTCGAAGAGCCAGAGTGATATCATTGTCAAGAAATCAAAAGTCCCTTTTGGGTGCATGTGGGTATGGCTCAAAATTAAAGAGCTGGGGTTACGCGGGTTTTCGTCTTTGGCTCCATTTACCAAGGTGCCATTTTGGTACCACTTGTTTGAGCCACTGCCATGTGAGTCGAGAAGCTCGCCTTGTTCCAAAAGCTGTGTGGGTCAAACCACATTGGCAAACGCTGCGGGGGCGAGACGTGCGCCTCTTTGTGTCCGGGCGCGGCATTCGGCATGTCATTTCGGGGCCAGCAGTTGCCAGGCAGCTGTGACTGCAAAAAACTTACTGAGAATGCCGGAGCCCATGCAGGGCCAAAACACCCGTGTTACCTCCGGATGTGCTCGTCAAATGATTTGCTAGCCAGGCATTCACGGATACTCATCCTTCCACAAATTTGAGATGATTCTTTCCTTTTTTGGGAGGAGGTTCTTTGGGGGTTGGTGCGTGCGTGCGTTCCAGTTCTATGGAAGCCTTCACTGGCTGGGCTTTCCGGCCACACAAAGCCCTGCAAAGGAAAGAGCAGGTAGCCGATAAAGAGACTCCCTGGCACAAGCACCTCAGCGAGTTCAGCGAAACGTGGGCGGATTGGCAAAACACGACCCTGGAATAAGCAGAACGCCGGGCGGATTGGATAAGGGACACCTTTTCTACTGGGAATCCAAAAAACATTGGCACACCACTTCTGGGTAAATGAATCTGAAGTACCCACTACCCAGTTTCCATGGAGCTTTTAACTTGAAGAGTATCCTTTGAGCAGCTTCCCCCTGGCTGCAGAAGCCAAACAGCTTCAAGTGGCACTGACCGGGACCTGAACACTTCTGCAACCTATTTTGGAGCCGAATCGGTGGGTTGCTGGCTGAGGAGTTCGACTCCCATTCACCCTCTACAAAAGCCGAGTAGCTTCCCATTCACCCTCTACAAAAGCCAGCGAGTGAATCCCAAACCACCATAAACCACCAATCCAAACCACCAATCCAAACCACCGACGGGTTACCTGACTCTCGTGTCTGTCCAACAATTCCCCCTGCAGGGCATCTGTTTTCGGGTTTCCTGAAAAACGCCGTTCCAAAGGGGCCAAAGACTCATTTCGAACTGAGGGGCTGCCAAGCCGTCCACTTTGGTGCCTCGCTAGTGTCACGGTACCCATTTTGCAATAAACCGAGAAACGTGGGTTGGCCAAGAAAGCCAAGACATGCCTAAACATTTTTAAGCACGAAAATGGGTTTCCACCCCAAACACACCGTTTTTTCTCGTAACAAGCTTGTCCCAAATTGAACCACAAACAAAACCACAGGTTGTCCAACGGAACTCGTCAAGTCCGGGACGAGACATGAGATGGGAACATTGGTTCATGTTGACCCCCCTGCAAAAAGTTTAACTTTTTGGGGGTTTAGTGGAAAACCCCTTGATTTCCCCAAAAAAGTTAGTCTAAAGATCCAACCCAATAGCAGTCAAGGGAAACCCTTTGCCTGGTTCTCACGGGCTCCCCAGCGTGGAAGAGCGAAACGGAGGCGCGCACCTGGAACGAGAGGTCCTGGCGGTGGCTGATTCTTTTGTCACCTCACCCCAAGGCATAACCTGGATCGCCAGTTGCTGTTGTTCCATGCAGAGTACCCCCAAAAACAGCCACAGTGACTGAAACAGTAGCAACTTGGCTGTCTAGGGAGTCTCTTTTTTGAGGATTTGGACCCCCAAAATCGATTTCGGGCTTTTCCTTTAAAACCTGCCAAAAAAGGGCACTAGCCCAAGAAAGACAGACCCATTTGGTGGATTGGTGCCTGGTTTTTGGACTTTGGCTGCATCAAACCTCCGGCAATCCAAACCGCTAAGGGCTGGGGAGCCAACAACTAAGAGAGAAAACCAGCCACAAGAAATGTCTCGAGGAAATGTGCAAAGCACCCACACCAAATTCGGGGGTCGCTGGTTTGCTCAAGCAAAAAGAAGGCGCCAGAAAAGGACTGTGGGCTGACCCAGGTGCTCAGTCAACACATCCAGCTAAAATCCCAAAAGGAAGGAAGGGGGAGCCGAATCTGCTTCGTTCAAACCACTGTTTCACCACTATATACCTGGAGTCTCCTTCTGACCCTCAAAAAAGGGTTGGTCATTACCCAAAATAATTGGGTCATGGGGTCATGGACCCATTTTTTAAGGGTCAAGGAGAGTCTAGGTATCCGGTTGGATCCCCTCTGTCCCATCCCTTCCCCAAAAAATCCACTCCGCCCCAACGACCCGATTTGCTTCCCTTGACAGGGCATGCGTCATTAGGGGGTTCCTTGTGACACGCGCGCATCCAGCGTGGGTTAAACCAACGTTCTCTCCCTGTGCGAAAAATGCAAAGAGCTTGACGGTTGACTCGCACTCCCTGAGGCCCTGGACTTTACCTAGACTCTCCTTGACCCTTAAAAAATGGGTCGGTCCATGACCCCATTATTTTGGGTAATGACCAACCATTTTTTGAGGGTCATGTGCTCCAGGTATGCTTTTTGGGAAGACCATCTTAAAAAGCATTCCCAACAAGTTTGGGCACTTACTGCTTTGAATGCGGCCCCCAGAAGGGAAGGAAACAACGAATGCTGAGCAAGCAATAGCGGTGGCGGCGCGTGAAATTTCATGGCCTTGGTTGAATAAGACACTACGACCAGTGACAAGCCATGTGTCATCGGCCACCCCGTGATAGAAATCCGGGTCGAGACACGCTATTGCAATCTTTCTTTTACCCCTTCCCAACAACAAGATGCCCCCCCCCCCCCCCCCCGCCGCCGCCATTTAAAAGAAGAAGCAAGCCAAGCAAAGGGGGGGCTGGGTTTTTGGCAGCTGGGTGCCATTAAGATGGGGGTTGATCAATAATATGCCTAACCCCTAAATGACCATGGGTAAATTTGCCCATTGAGTGGTGAAAGTCCTCATTTATCGTGGTTTCCCTGATGGTCATCCCATGTAGAGAACCTTTTGATCAACCTCTAAATGGTTGGAAGTGCTTTAGAACTAGCTTATTTGTCAATTCGAGTTCAGTATTGACGGATTTCGGGCTTTGTGAAAATTAAACATGCTTCAACAACTTCCTTTGGAGTCCGGCTAACATGAAGCAGGCCAAACATGCTTTCAGGGCGAACCGGATTGGGCAACTGGTGGCTGCTTTTCCTAAAACTGCTCATTGCCACTGCAATGCTCGCTTGCAATGGGAAATTGAAACCCGAAAATGGTAGTGAACCCAACAAGATCAAGCAGAACAACACTCCGTGTCAAACCCTCGCAACATATGGGGGGGGTGTTTTGTTGCATGCCCTAACTGCTGCAAGTGAGGCAACCACATCCGATCCATTGAATACCAAGGAATTCCATTTGTTCCCCTACTTGCTGTGGTTGCATGGGTCTCTTGATAAGACTATGTCGCATTAGTTGTCTAACACCCTGGTCAAGGATACATAAATCAGTGCAAGCTATCATTCTCAAGGAATTTAAAGGACCTCCACCCCCTCCTGCATCGAGGTGATGGCCCTTCCCTCACCCAAGGGCTGCAAGAGGAAGCGGATGGGATGAGCACCTGGCCACAAAGAGAACAAAAGCGTCAAATCCAAATTCATAAACTCACTTGCCCAAAGGACCCAGAAATAAAAGGTTAACCTTTTGGGGTCATGACTAAAACTAGACCAAAAAGGAGAAACCAAAAGGTCAGAAGGTCGGCTTTGGGCAACTGAGTAAATCCAAACCACCGATCCAAACCACCAAGTGATCAGAGGTTGCCTGTCAGTTGGCAACCTGCCTTTAGAGTTAGGACCACCTCTAAAGTGGCCAAGGTGGACATGAATCCCACCAAAAAGCTTGTCGCGTGCAAAACTGGCCAGCAAGTGACCAAAGTCCAAACACTACCCAAGGGGATATCAACCAAACTGGAAAGCAGGAAATGTGTATCTCTCATTCAACGGGGGGGGAACAAAAACTGCGGTTTCCCTTGAAACTAAGGTGAAAAGATCGCTCTCAAAGAAACACGCGCACACACACACAGAGTGCCTCACTCCCCGAGTGGATGTCCCAAAACAAGTCCAAACTTTTTGTTTACCACTAAAAGGATCTTCCCAAAAAGTGTAAAGTCCATGAACTCAGGAAGTGAGGTGCCGAGGTGCCGTGTGGTTCTTCTCTGAAAAGGCTCGGCATGGCTCGGCGGTGTTTCCCTTTTCGGCTCTCAGTCTGGCGCTGCTCTCTGGAAAGATGGTGAGGGCCACGTTGAACAAGAAGCTCACCTCGGGGTTTTTCAGCACAGCTGAAGAAAAACGCCTCACTCACTTGCGATCGGTGCGATAGGTAGGGAATGAGGGAATGAACCCAGGCTTTGGTCCCCTTCAAGGAAACCATGGATGGTAGGGGGAATGAGGGAATGAACCCCTTTGGTCCCCTGCAAGGAAACCAGTTGGATGGTTTGGTGTGATTCCATGTCTCATTCCCTGAGAACCAGCAAGGTAGAACCACCGCCCTTTTTAATCCATCGCGCAAGTGGCCTAACCTGAAGCGCGAAACCTTCGACGGCGATGCTCTGACATGAGGAGCCAAACCGGGTGTCCAAACAGGAGCCCCCAAACAGCTCCGGCTTTCCTTTTGGTTTGCTTTGCTTCTTAAAACAAGAAGACACAAATTAGGTAAAACTAAGGGGCCCAACCGTGGAAACGAGGGTGTGTCGTTTTTTGGAGTTGATACCCTGTTCGTGGCCTTCAAGGGAAGCCAAAAGAAAAACAACGTCTTCTTCTTGTTTTTGGTGGGAGGGGGGTCCCCTGAAAAAAGACGCGTCCATGTGATCCTCCAATGTCATGTGGTAAGTTGGTCGTATCTTTCGGCTTGGCTGAAACGGAAAGTAAAAAAAAAAAAAAAGAACAACCCTAAGGGTCATGACCCCTCCAATGCGCACCCCCGGACCCTCCAATGGAGAACCCCGACCTTTCAGGGGCCCCTGAAAACAAACAACATTTAACACCCAGAAACAATCGAGAAAATCTTAGGGAAAGCCACATTTTTGGGGGTGGCCCTGTTTGACACCAGCTCGGCTGGTTTCCTTTTTCTCGCCCCTCACAAAACAAACTGCCAACAGACAGCACCCGGGTCCCAACCACCGCTTTTGCAACAGCCGCTGCCACTTGAAATCCATTTTGGACATGGGAAAAAACCCGGGGCTTCGCACCGACTAAGGCACTCTTTGGCACCTCTTTGGCGCCTCTTTGTCCGATCAACGCGCGGGGCAATCCCAATATAGGCTAGCCCTCACGCCATTTCCGAGGCGGGGGAGGGGTGGTCCTTTCCCAACTTGACAAGTTTAGATGACAAACTCCGCTTGGCAATGTTGGTGGCTTGTCTCTTCGCGTTTGCTTCATGTTTCTGTCTCAGGTGCAGTAGTTCCGCAGGAAGCTCACACGTCTTGGGCCCAAACATGCCCAAACTCTTCTCCCGGTGCCCCCCTTACGGGACCCAGGTCTCGTAAGGCAAACTGTCCAAAGGCAAATTGTTGCTCAAGCTCCATGGGAGCCTTACCTGACCTGTCCCAAAAGACCTGGAAAAATGGCGAAGAACACCATTCAGGACCTTGACTCAGGGCGCAAATCCCCGGCAAATCGCCTCCTTCCTCTGAAGATTTGCCACTTGCAACCCCAAACACTTCCCATTCTCTCCTTTCATTTGAAAGGACCCCCATCAAATAATAGGCCTTTCTTTCCTTCGCCTACACCTGGAATACACGTTAAGCAACATACCATCGCAAAACCAAACGGAAGGAGCCTGCACAGGGGTCCCCTTTCGGAAAAAAATGTTCTCCCTTCGATCTGGTTTTTGGGAGGGTGTGCCCAGATTCCGTTTACCATATTGGGCCCGTTTCATATTTGGCCATGAGCCAAAAATGCGGAATCTCCTAAAGACTTATTGGGTCCACCAAAGGGTCCCTGAGAAAAACTGCGGGTGTGGGTCAAAATTCATCCACCAAAAAACCACAGGTTTTAGTCCTTGGTTCCATTTACCAGGGCAAGCCATTTTGGGGTTACCCCATTTTTGACAACCACAGCCATTTTTTTGCCTCCACCCTAACTGTTTCGGTTGCTTTCTGCTCCCCTGCTCAAAGTTTAACTTTTAGTGGTTTGATACGGAAAACTCGGCAGTTGGCAAAAAGTTAAAGTCCTAACATCCCTCGGCAAAATGCAACAAAGTTGTGGAAGAGTCCTTGGGGACATCGCTTTGAGTCGCCAAAGGACCACCGAGCACAGCTCAGGAGCTCAGGAGAGCTCGAGAGTCCGGCGCCGCTTGCGGTCGATGTTCTCCATGCCCTGAACCGACGGTCGCCGCTGTGAAATGAAAGCCAGGCAGACAAAGCATGCGGAAAACAACCATGAAATCCTAAAAGAGCCACCCCGAAGAACCCAGGACTGTTTTGCATCCCTTTGTACATCTCCACCAATTTGGCTGGGGATGTGAGTTCGAAAAGAGTCAAGAGATAGGGTATGATACAGTTATAGGAAAACACACATGCACACACAAACATCTCCAACTGATAGCGTTAAAGAAGCGTGGACAGGTTTAATTGAGAAAGATTGCGGCAAGGATCCCGACTTCTTGTGTGCTCAGAGGCTCCCGCTCAAACGGCCAGGTTTTGAGACCGGGTCCCAAACACCGATTCCCGGGGTGTCTAACAAAGGGGTCGGGTCTTCCATTGAATGGCCCCATTTGGGTCATTGTGCAGGACTGGGTCCTGCATTCGGTTACGGACGCCATGCCGCCTGGTGTGCATTCGGTGGATATTCTTCCAGAGGCCGTAGACGCAAACTTCCACGGGAGCCAATTTGTGTCCTAAGATATGGGGACCCCGAGCCTTGCCAGAACCTGCTCAGATTGCCAAATGCACAACTCAGTTTTGCATGCGCGGGATACTTTCCTGAGGCACATGGAACTCCGGAACCACCACTGAGAACGATCCGAAGGTGGTCGCTAAACACTGGCTGAACATGGGGATAACCAATTAGAGTCAATAAAACAAGGGAAGCGGCCGCTCGCTTCGCCGCACGCTTCACCCCAAGTCAAAACAACAATGCCCTGGTAGCAACACCCCATCGCACCACTCCCCCTGCCCACTCTTCCAGTCTATCCCTAGCCTGCCTCGCCCTCTTCAACAAACTTACGTTGAGGAAAAGCAAGCACCACCCTTGCTTTTTGATTGCACTTGGGAGTACGGAAATGCTGGGGACTTTTCAACCTAGAATTCTGGCTTCCTATGTTTACCAAGCAAAACGATGCACCCATTGAGAAACCCCCCCCCCTCCCCCCATTTTGGCTATTGATTGCTCCGGGGGGACCTCCAAGAAAGCGCCAGCTTGGGCCCCCGCGTTGGAGTTCCTGCCGAACTCCCCCCGCAGGTTGCCTCAACTTTTCTTACGGCAAAGGGCGCGCCTCGAAACACTTACCCTCCCAAAAACTAACATGGAACCCTTCGACGTTGGGGGGGGTCCTGATTCGGAACATTTCCCTTTTAAAGGGATCAGAGTAGGAGGGTAGTGTAGATGGTCTGGGGCTTCTCTTGATGATTATTAACCCTTGTGGGGCCTTTAACAACCATGTCTTGGGTGTGTAACTAAATGATGCCAGAGAAAAACGGCAGACTTTACATGCTTTAAGGTGCGCGAAATTTACTCTTGGGAAGCTGAGGTGGGACCCATGGGACCTACATGTCAAAGAAATAATGCTCCGCGTTTAACAAGTTCTTCACTTTTTGTTTGGCATATCCCATGTAGTTGTTGCTTGCGTGATTCTTGCAAATCTACTCTAAACAAATATTGCGGAAATTTCCGTGGTTGCCTACAAGTGTAAGTGCCAACGTCAAAGATGCAGGTTGGGAAATACAATTATACAAAACTCCTGGTGGCACCGTACCTTCCTCTCAAAGAGGGATCGATACCCTCAGCTCCTTGGCTCCCTTCCAAGCAAAGGAATCTAGGACACCTGGGCCAGTTGACTAAACACATTGGACAAATAGATCATAGGTGGATTGTGTCATCTTCCGGCCAATTGAAATTGATTCCCATGCCCCCAGCCTCCCAATTGCCATGGGGAAAAAAAGGGTACTATCTTTTTTTTTGGTGGTACTTGGTTTTAACGGGAGCCCTTTGCCAAAACAAAGAAACGCACCAAACAAGAAGCCCCCACACTTACCATCTTCCACTAAAATACTCTTTCCAACCCCCAAAAGTGGCCGTCAAGTCCATGAACTTCAGGACAACGGCAGCCAAACCCAAACAAGTGGGCATGGGTCAAAATTAAACCACTAGGGGACCGCAGATGCTGGTCCATGTTTTCATTTTCCCGGGCAAGCCATTTTCGGGTTTCCCCATTTTTGATTCACGGCCGTCTGTGACTGTCACGGCTGCAGTGAGACCGGTCTCTCTGTGACTCTCCGGTCTCTCCGGTCTCTCCTGTCTCTCCGAAATCTCTGGTATCCCCCCTACCTTCAGGAGGAGGGGGGTGGGGGGGTCCCCAATTCCATTTCTCTAGTCTTCCCCATAAAAGGGCAAAATGGGATACCACAAATGGAGATCTCCAGGAATCACCCTCCCCAATTCCATTACCAGGGATCCTTACATCAAGCACCTGAACATTGCAACTTTTAAATGGTGGTGTCCCTTTATGTTGCTGGAAAAAGCCATGTTTCCAAATGGTTGCAAAATGAATTTCTTTTAAGGGGCCCTGATTTTTCGGGGGTGGGGACAGCGGCCCGGTCTCTCCCGGCCGTGCGGCCCTCGCCGGCCAGGCGATGGCACTCGGCCCACAAGCGCGGCAGCTGCTTCAGCTTGGCCGCCTGCAGAAGCCTCAAGTTCGTCATGGCCGTTTGGCAACAAAAAACTCGCTGTTTTCTCCGGTAACCCGCAAAAAAAAAGAAGCTACACTCTCCATGACCCTCTAAACATAGAAAAGAAAGGGGTCAAATGGGCCCATCTTTGAAGAGTCATGGAGAGTCCAGGTAGGTTTGTTTCCCCCGCTTTACCGCTTTGAAGCCGTCCAAGACAAACCAATTCTCGAGAGTTGTGCGTGTATGTGTTTTGCGTGGGCAGCTTGTGCTGCCTTTGCTCCTTCTTCGTCCTTGTGACATTGGTGATGTCTTCAAAAGGACCCATTTTCGCCAGACCAGCACCCCCCACCAACGTCCAAGTCCCAAGTACTAAAAAATCGGTCTCTCATCACTTCCCTCACTGGCCCCAGATTCATCAGCCCCAGTTTATTA